CTGAACACTTAGTTCAGTCACCTATGCACACGCACGCGCACAAACACACACGCAATTCGCATACTTTATGCACATCTATCACTAACACACACATATAACCTTATTAACCATGCATTTGAGTAAGTATTTATTCGCAGTTTTATGCACCTATGGCAACCTAAATGATACGAAAATTACCCAATTGTGCATTGGCTTGAATTTTTCAGCCATTTAACGACTTGCCCTTGCTCTCTCTCGACCATTCCAAGACATCCTCTGATGTTCAGTTATTCATCAACTAGCATGAGGGAACGAAACAGGCAAAAGTTGTTTTACTTTGCATCTTTACATGTTTATGATGTTTATCCCACAAGCATTAAGACCTTTGTGTCAAGCCTATCTTCCCAACACCCCAATGGGTAACCTGATTTCGTTGGAGGCCCTGTGTGGACAGCTGCCAAACGCACAGGTCCATAACAAATAACATCACGCATCCCTCCGATTCACAGCACTAACATTTGGTGGCTCCTACTGTGCTCCAAGCTCTCACGTTAGTCCACCTATGCTGGTGCCCCAATAGCCACTATGGCAACCGTTTCCTTTTTAGCGCCATGATCTGCAGACTAAACAAAACCTTCTTAAAGAGGCAGCCTTTAGTGCCGAACACGAAAAATGTCTATTTTCTACAAACGATAGGAGAGTTTTGATCACCACTTCTAGCAAAAAATAGTGAACAAGCCAAAATGGGGTATCGACGCAATCATCTAGGCTCTAGAAACGAGGAGTCTCAGGTAACGCAAAACAATGAAGGCAAAGTTAAATGTTAAAGCCTTGACACGCTAACAAGTTGATAGAGAAGAAAGCTACTTGGGTTCATCGTCAGAGCTAGCGTTTGGTGCGTTAAGCTCCTGGCAATACTCACCGTCAGAAAATGTCAAGTTAGGGATACCCACAATCACTGAAATACCATCGATGTCTTCCAGTCGAAAAAAGCCGCTTGCTCTTACACTTGGATTGGGCATTTCGAGACAACCGTGATACTGGAAATAGGGACTCCTCATAGGCAGAACCGGCTGTAAAATTGGGGAATGTTGTTGTTTACGTAGCTATCAATGCAGAATGTGCCTTAAAGATGAATGCCCGCCTGAGTCTGAAACACGTACCGTGTCAACAAAATCCGCTTCGTAATCATTCAAAGGTCTGCCCTCTGGGGTGCTAAAGTTCCAGTAAATTCCACACAGTTTCATGCCTCTTTTTGTCATATTCTCGATGAGAATTAGATAACGCCACTATGAAAGAGAATTTAAGTGGAAAAGGCTAACTTAAAAGAAAGCAGAAAGGGGAAGCTTGTCATCTGCTGCATGCAACTAATCTGTGAAGAGTATGCAAACTCACGTAGTGCAATACAGCCTTCGTAGGAAGCTAAAATTGGGAGAATAACTAAGTAGGTGCTTTAGGATTTCGCTAGCAAAGGAATATTGCACACAAAGGGGATTGCTATAAAATTTGTCGCTGCTTTAATTCCTCATAATCTAGTCTTTAATTTCAAGTCTGAGTTCAAAGCGGTAGAGTATTTAAACGTTGTGCCAAAGTTGGTCAGTGAGATGAGATTTGGGAGTGCCGAGGGGAGAAGGGCATTGAGGCGATGCCAAAAAAAACCAGACAACTTTGTTGACTTACGCTTACCTTGCGTCGACCCATAAGAAATGGGACAGCAGTGACACGAACACCATCTGTGGTTTCTTGGTGCACACTCTGAACCTCTAAAAGGGAGCCATACTTCTTCAATATCCGCTCCAAACGATCTGTCGGGTACACCTTCGGTTCTGCAAGGCAATACGGGCTCGGTGTTAAACGTGACGATGTGTTTGGCACCCTGAATGCAAAGATTTGAAGTGGTGACCCAACGAACGCTAAAAAATTTGAGAGGATTTCCAACAAAATGTGAATTTTATGAGGTAAGACTTTTTGTAGTTGACGATTCTTGAGCCCGGACACGAGGGAGCAAATCTGTAAGGCTTGTAAACTCACCTACATCGGGATCGAAGTGCATCAACTCCATGAATGATGGATTCATCAGTGGCAATTCGTGCGTGCAGGTGTAGGGGATGAGGTCCTCATGGAACGCATAGTCCATATCTGGATGTCCAAATGAAGTGAGAGAGTCGCACCTCATAGTAGTACGCAATAGCTTGCCATAATAGTTTCTACACTTAATTGCAAGAACGTCTGCTTGCTTAAGCAGTAGCCTTAGGCATCGTTTGAAGTTGATTCTTCAAAGAGGATGCGTGCTGTGGCACACAGAGTAGCGTTAATCTTCTGACTTTAGTTCCTATCGCACTCGTGAATGCAGTTTGAACGAGGGTCACTTATGTTAGTAGGGCAGAAAACCAAAGTATTAAATAACGGCATGACAGCACGGATACTTTCGCATACTCTACAGGCTAAATGTACGTGCCGTTTCATGATTTGGTCACTAGGACAGCTGCAAAAGAGCATCTTGATTTGGGTTCCTTTGACACTGTCAAGTGTGACATGGACACTGCAGCGACATTGATAATTATCGAAATGTAGTAGGTCACTTGTGCCTGCAAAAGCATTACCATCGGCTGCTTATTAGCTGTTCGAAGTATAGCACTCATTGTGGAAACGCACCAGTTACATTGAAAGTAGCTTCGCATGGACCCTCACCGTTTAGCAAAAATGGAACTCCTGCTATCATTGTTGGGCTCTGAAAGCAAGCAAAGGCATAAGCAATTTAATCGGCTTGATGAGAGACATGTGCACTCACGGATAAGGCGGCATCCCGAATGTCAAACAGGACTGCATACGCCTGCATCGGTTGTTCGCATTTCGCCGAGATCTTAAACGACGGAGAGATCCCCTCTGATCTAACACAATTTGCAAATTCCACCCCTTTACCCAAGATAGAAATATGACCTACATATCACTGGACTTATCATTTTCAGGGGTGTAGGTCTTCATTTCGTAGACGTTGGCCTTCCAGGAGCTGAGCACCACGCCGCGATAACCAAAGAGGCGGTGCAAAATTAGCTGACCCGGTTCATAGGGCGATTTTTGTGTTGGTTGAAGTTGTCCGATGGGGGCGACCCTTAGAAGGGCGAAGTAAGAGGTAAGTGAAATTACGAATACGGCAGCGACGAGTTCGATTCCACTCTCAAGTGTGTCATAACAATCGACGGGACCTGTCGAAGTCGAAGGAGCTGTCGCAAAAGCATTGTCTGTGAGTCAAAAAAGAGTTGTTAATAGCTTACAGCACTACTTTGGTAAGGGAGATATAAAAATGGAAATGTCTTGCTAAATGTTAACTTTTTTGCTCGAATCGGCAAAAATGCATGCACTGGACGACCTGAAAGAGGTGCACAGCCACTACAGAGGTTGATCCAAAGAGTTCGGAGAAATGGTCCAGCAGATGAGAAGCAATCATCAGGTGGAGCATTATTTAGAGCTAGATAGGCATAAATAAGAAAAGTTGAAGTAATCAAGCATTGAAACTTAACAAAAAATTCACCGACATTTATACACCAAATAGGCAGGAAAAGCTAAGAGTTGACACAAGTCAAAGTAATAAGTCGCTCAACATGTCATCTAGAATTGCTAAAAAGGCAACGCTTGAGAGAAATGTATTGCATCTTCAAGGCGAATAATCAACATTTCGTAACTGATGTAGCCGAATTTTGTCAGCGAGAAGAAGAAAGGGAGACAGAGGAAACGATAACTGAGTTGAAGAATGGTTTGCGCTGCAGAGAGCAGGATTGTGTGCTCGGGTATCAAAGTGATTCCACTTAAGTGATGGAGCTGGAACGTGATGTGCACTGCGCACATCGGCATGACGAAGCACTGAGCCTCGAGTGACCCTACACTCGCACAGTTGCAAAACTAGACCGGCCTTGGCACACTCCCCATGTGCCCTCCTTGATAGTCAACCAGTAGGTGGCAGAAGGTCGTAAATATCCTTTTTACAACGAGGAGTCGAAGCACAAGTTCTTGCTATTGATTCGATAATGGCAGACCGAGCACTAAATTCGTATGTTTTATTTGGTTAGAGTCAGTTTCGTACTCGAGTGTAAGGAAATGCATTAGGTGGGGTATAAAGGGTCAAACATATTCATTACTCACTTTCCCATGAAATTGCCGAAACTGTCACAGCGCCCAGCACAGAAAGCCTGACGATGAGTGGGGGATGAAATTGGCACCAATGCCTGTCCCAACACTTAATGTTGCTTGTATTGGTAGTTGAGCGCTGAGCCCATTTGGGGAGAGAATAGAAGTCGAATCTATTGAGACTGTGCACAGAAAGGTGGTGACCGTACACTTAAAGGATTAGCAAAGTTTAGGCAACGAGCTGCAGTGAGAGTGAACTTAGGCCATTAGAGTCGGCTCCATAGGGGTTTTATGCAACGCCACGCAAAGTCATCTGACAAGTTACAATTAAATGCAACAAATAGAATGAGGCTAAGTAATAGGTGCGAAGCAGGCGGTGAAATGTGGTGAGGCAAATCAGGAATTCCCTTACGACAATTAGACAAATACCGAGGGTGTTGTCGACGAGTTCCTACCGATAATTTGTCATGAACTCATAAAATTGTAAAAACAAGTCTCCTGCTTCAGTGCCTGTTTGATTCCTCTTAAAAGTGATTGGGAGAATGGAAATTAACATACAAAGGAATGAAGAGGTTTTCCTCGATCCCGCAAGTACTGGGCTGATAAGGTGAATAGGTTACAACTGTTGAGCCAAACGGTGATATCCAGGTCGTATCCACTTCAACACTATCTGGTGACTGCTCGAACAGCCACATTTTACCTAAAGGGACCTGTGGGTGCACCGACAGTTTGTCGTTCATTGGTGAACTGCTCCAATGCCATGGCCTGAACAGCCTGTGAAGTGAGCAGAAAAGGCAAGCAAAATCCTGAGTTAATTGCATCCCTCCAAAATAATTCAAACAAACGAATTCTTCCCTGATGGGTATTGTCGTTACTGTTTTTGCTAACGATTTCAGTTGCACATATTGGGGTCCTTTGGCTTTGTGGACTCAGTACTGCATCAACAGGCAGAAAGCTGGATCTCACACGACAGCTGACATTCTCATAAGCAAATTTACTTAAATTGTATCAATCCAACCCTGTGTGACCACGTATATGCAATGGCATGACGGCTACAGGTGAGCTACTGTGCGTCTTTTGCGGTCAGTGTCTCAACAAGATGAGCCACAGGTTTTGAACAATGCCTGCAGGCTCGTATCAGTTACAGTTGAACGATTTGTCTGCACAAGCGGTGAAGGGTGAGTAAAGTATCGCTACACGATACTCCCCACTTGTTAACAATAAGAACGACTTTTGACAGATTCGAAATTGCCTTGTTTTTTGTGCAACAAAATGTCGGACCAGTCAAAGGGAAGTAGCTTAGAGCTGACTGGGAGGGTGTAGAACGCACAATTGAGCGGCAGTTCACGGAAAGATCTCTGGGATTATCAAATGCTGTTGTTTAAGTAGTTTACTACCAATCAAACGGGATCGGGTACCATGAAATATCAGTGAGTCTCCTCAAGACTAATAGCTTAAAATTACTAAGAGTTTATGCATTTTGTCAGTACTTACAGAAAGGTAACGATGTTACATGCGCTGTCATCGCACTCCTACCACCTTTGGTGAAGCGATATGCCATAGTTCTCATCAGACCAATGAGTAGATTTAGCTAAGACAACAATTTGGTGCTGAGGTGTCGTCCTAACCTCCTTTACCGCTCCGGTTTTTGGAGCGATTTCGTAACCCTCTGAAAGATGGCACACAACACAAACGGTGCCTGAGTCTTAAAGCCGACAAAACCCGTCAAAGATAGCTGCCATTTGTCGCGTCTCCGCAATGGCAGTCTTCACTCCGAGTGCGCATTGTCTCTCATTTGGCACCATCGCAACCTCAGATTGGACATGCGCGAATGAGTTGACACGTGTCATTTGACATAAGAAATTAATTCGAGAGAAAGGAAACCTCCAACGTCATTGAAGGTAAGTAATGTCTGGCTAATCAGCTTAATTTAACTATGCGGTAGGAGGTGGGGAAGCACTTCTCATGCTACAGCTCGAA